ATTTCGCAGTAGCCATAGTTGTGGACAAACTCCCACCAAAGCCAGGACGGCCAAAGAAATCAGGGCTTGGTCTGACACTTCCACACACCACGGGCTGCCGCAGCCGAGAGTTGGTAAAAACCTTCATGCCCATCTCCTTCAAAATCAAAACAGAAAGTACATCAACCACCTCTGCTTCCTAGTATAGCTTTATTCCACTCTGCCCTCCTTCCCCATCCACAGCCTTCTAGTTACAAGAGAGTGGATAATACCACAAGTGAACAGTGCCCATCTAAACTCCAGGCTCTTCTTAGTGGTACTATTTCCCCCCCTCCCCCATCCTAGCGCCAGCTTCTCTCTCTTCTCCCCTGTAGCTCTCTATGGCATTTTCTGTGCCAATGTCAATGGGAGTTCCGTGCATGTTAGAAATGCAGAATATGCCGCAGGAATCCATACAGTGTGTGCACTACAAACACACAATGCTCAAGACAGAGGAATTTGGTGCTGAATCTCTAAAGTACGACAGCGACACAGAGGGTGACCAGATGTCCCTATAAAATCGGGACTGTCCCGTTATTGAGCAGCTTGTCCCAACCGAAGAACGGTCGGGACGACATTTGTCCCGATATTTTGTTTCGGGCGCGGCAGCCTTTTTTTATTAATTATTATTATTATTTCTTTTTTTTTGCTTAGGCGGCGGTGACGGTCAGGGGGAGCACCTTTTCAATTGTTTCACTCACCCAGCATGTCCGGGTCTTCGGCGGCACTCCGGCGGCAGGTACTTTTTTCTTCGGCGGCAAGATTACCCGCTGCCGAAATGCCGCCGAAGACCGTCAGCAACTGAAGGACCCGCTGCCGAAGTGCCGCCGAAGACCCAGATGTGCCGACTGAGTGTAACAATAGAAAAGGCGTTCCCCCTGCGGCTGTCCCAATATTTTGGAGTTATCATCTTGTCACCCTAGCGACACCGGCTGTACAGTCAGAAACTACATTAATGGAGCTGAAGTGAGGCCCCTTTCACAGAGCAACTAGAGATGCAAGAGACCTATCACGGCCCATCTAGTTCTTTACCTGAGGGCCAGTGCAGGACTCTTCCATACTGTGTATTAGAAGTGCAATTGGGTTTCCATCTCTTCCCTTGGGAGGCCTGTCCACTGCCTCTCAGATAAAGAATCTGAGAGTCTACAGCTAGAAAAGAAATTGAGTCACCTAGTCCCACCCCTCTGTTACTGCAGGACAGCCCTCATGTTGTGAGGCTCAACTGCTGGAGGGGGAGGCTGAATATATGACAGCAGGAAATAAGATTGCACCACAGTGCAGAATTGACTCTGGCTCTATCCCCTGCTCTAGACTACACACTTCATAATAGAGCTGGGGGAAAAACATTTCAAGGTTTCAAAATTCTTCCCATTCCACAATGGGACAAAACTAACATCTTTCAAAGTTTTTTTTGTGAAAATAACCGAGAGAGAAAGAGAACTGCATTCCAGAATCCCCAACAGCTTAGGGGTTAGCGTCCTCACCTAGGACGTGGGAAACCTGGGCTGGAGTCAGGACTCTGAATCAGTGTCAGTCTCTTACTCTTTCTGGTGCAATGAATATTTAATCACTTAGACTAAGTGAAACAGCTTCAACAGGAGAAACTCTTCCTCTAAATGGCCATCTGCCTGGTGGTCGGAGCACTCAGTGAGTATACGCAGATGTAGGTTCCAGATCCTTCTCTGAATCAGGCAGAACATGGACTTCAAGCTGCATCTTCCACACTCCAGATGAGTGCTGTAACCACTGGACTATTGGCTACTCTGAGGTGGGCCTCTCTTTCTAGTTTTGACCAGAAATTCCATCCTGGATCTGATAAACCTTACCAACAACAGTTTTGACAAAGCCAACCCTTTCCACTGAAAAGGTTCAGTTTTACAAATTGGCATTTTCTAATGAAAAAAAGTTTCATCGAAAAATTCCTGACCAGCTCTACTTCAGCACTCAAACTGCTTTCCCTGCCATTAAGACTAAGTGCACGTGGACGTGTCAGCAGAAGAGGTTATACAACTGACACCAGGTGCCTGTTGCATTTCATGATTTGCAAGGGAGAAAACCAGGGAGGGCACTTAAATTTCACCTTCGCCCCCACCCTTCCCTGCTCTCTTCTTCCACTGCTAACCAGGTGACAGTCCATTGTGGGCTAATGTAAAGAAATTTCAGCATGCTTGCCTTGAAATATTGATAGACATCTGGGCCGAAGTCAGAGGACACAGGCATGTAATACAAGCCATTGTGAAAGATGTTGTCAGCCGGGACACATGGCTCTTTGCTGTCATCTTCCAGGTTCAGCCCGCTGAAGTAATAACCATATAACTCTTGCAAGGGAAGTAGGTTGTACACCTGTGAGAGGGGAAACAAACACAGAACCTGTGTGTGGGGAGAGATCTGTACAGGGACATGCACCAGCTAATGTCTGCTGCTAGGGGTGGGATACCAGTCTGGGTCTCTCAACCTTTGCCTCATCCTCTCTTGAACTCTCTTCAGTCTACCTTGCTCTGTTTTAATGTGTGGTGTCCAGGAAGGAGCACATGCCCTCAGGCAATATTGGCCTGTATTAGGATTGTCACACTACTGGCTCATGATCCTCCATTGCAGCCTCCAGAAAGATTCTTTGTTAACCCTTAGAGCACAGCCTAATCCTAACATGTTACAGACCTTCCTACCTGGCTGCTTCCTAAAGTTCAGAAGGGGGTGATTAATAGTTGTTATGGCAAGAGGGTTCCTGATGGTGGGGAGGCCGAGACTCTTGCCTAGAGCAAGCCTTGATTGGCTCTTACTTTCTCCCTGCTACTGGGAACCTCACTCCTGCCCATAGTGCAGTATTCTTCATTGCAAGGCCCGCGAGCCAGTGGCGGCTCCCATCAATGCTAAATGCGGTTCGCTAAGTTCCCTCTTAGCTGCACGGCTGTGCATCAGGCTATAAATAGCTGCACAGCAGCTCTAAAGGGCCATGCAGCAGGGACCTGGAGAGGAGAGAGGTAGAGGGTGGGTGGGAACTGGGGAGGGGAGCAAGTTGGGGCTTGCAAGGCTGCTGTGGGCCTCTCTCCCGGCCCCGGAGCTCATTGCTGCTGGAGGGGAGAGAGGGGCCCCTTCCCCCAGAGCTCTGTGCTGCCTGTCGGCAGGGAGAGAGAGGTCCCTTCCCCAGAGCTAGCTGCTGCCAGCAGGGAGAGGGCTGGGGGGAGTCCTCTGGCCCCAGCCCCGGGGCAGCCTGCCAGCACCCCAAATTCCACATCCCCAGCCCCACCCCAGAGCCCTCATCCCTCCTGCCCCCACATCCCAACACCCTGACCCAGCCCCGACCCACACACCCCCGCACCCTGAACCCCTCATCCCCGGCCCCACCCCGCAGCCCTCACCCCTGGGCCTCCTCCCACACCCCAAACCCCTCATCCCTGCCCCACCCCAGGGCCCACACCCGCAGCCAGAGGGCTGAAAAGAAAACAGAGGAACAAATTGACTAATGAACATTTGGACTGCCTTACTAGGATTGTGATGACATATTAAAAATACTGTATGAACAAAGTCAAGGAGGAACAGGCACACTTTCGCTCATCCAGTTTTTAAAGTATGTTTTGCATTATTCTGCTCTTAATAAGTTTACTTGCATAGGTGCCTTTTTAATTCCATATATTTTCCTGGTTATTATTTTATAAAAGGAGTTCATTTTATTGTATAAGCAGACTTTGTTTTAGTTACACGAGTGGCTCTGTAATATTACATCATCAAGGAGTAGTAAGTAATGTGTTAATATAGTAGTTGATGTGGCTCTCACATTGAAGGTTTTTTGCCAAAATGGCCCCCACTTCAAAACTAGTGAAGATCAGTGTCATAGTGTGATCTGCCTCCACCTTCTGCTGCTTGGGCTGCAGCTTAGCAGGAGGGAGGTGAAATGCACTGGGAGGGCAGGTCGAGGCAGAGACAATCTGACATAGAATTGTAGAATCATAGAAATGTTGGGCTGGAGCAGACCTCAAGAGGTCATCTAGTCCATTTCCTATGCTGGGGCATGACTATGTAAACCTAGATCATCCCTGGAAGGTGTTTGTTCAACTTGTTCTTAAAAATTTCCAGTAATGGGGATTCCACAACCTCCCTTGGAAGCCTGTTCCAGAGCTTAACTACCCTTATGGTTAGATTTTTTTTTCTTAATATCTAACCTAAATCTCCCTTGCTGCATGTTGAGTCCATTACTTCTTGACTTACCTTCATTGGACATGGAGAACAATTGATCCCCATCCTCTTTATAACAGCCCCCTTAACATATCAGAAGACTTATCAGGTCCCCTCTCAGTCTTCTTTTCTCAACGCTAAACATGCCAAGTTTATTTAACCTTTCCTCATCAGTCAGGTTTTCTAAACCTTGTATCATGTTTGTGCTCTCCAGAATTGGACACAGTATTCCAGCTGAGGACTCACCATTGCTGAGTAGAGCGAGAGATTTACCTCCCGTATCTTACGTACGACACTCCTGTTAATACACCCCAGAATGATATTAGCCTTTTTTGCAGCTGCATCACAGTATTGACTGATATTCAATTTGTGATCAACAATAACCCCCAGATCCTTTTCAGCAGTACGACCACCTAGCTGGTTGTTCGCCATTTTGTAGTTGTGCATTTGATATTTCCTTCTTAACTGAAGCGCATTGTACTTGTCTTTACTGAATTTCATCTTCCTGATTTCAAACCGCTTCTCTAATTTGTCAATATTGTTTTGAATTCTAATCCTGTCCTCCAAAGTGCTTGCAACCTCTCCCAGTTTGGTGTCATCTGCAAATTTTATGAGCTTAAGACACTCCATTATCCAAGTCATTAATGAAAATATTGAATAATACTTGACCCAGGAATAACCTCTGTGGGACCCCTCTGCATACCCCCTCCTAGTTTGACAGCAAATCATTGATAACTACTCCTTTAGATTTCTTTCAACCAGTTGTGCACCCACCTTATAGTAATTTCATCTAGATCACATTTCCTTAGTTTGCTTATGAGAATGTCATGTAGGACTTGTCAAAAGTTTTAGTAGATGTGATATAGTTTACTTTTACTGCTTCCCACCAATCCAGTAGGCCATGAACCTTGTCAAAGAAGTAAATTAGGTTGATCTGGCTGATTGGTTCTTAGCAAATCCGTGCTGGCTATTCCTGATAAACCTATTATCCTCTAGATGCTTACAAACCAATTGTTTAATAATTTGTTCCAGTATCTTTCCAAGTATCAAAGTATAATTTCCCAGATCCTCTTTGTTCCCCTTTTTAAAGATAAGTACTATATTTGCCCTTCTCCAGTCCTCTGGGTCCTTCCCTGTCCTCCATGAGTTCTCAAAGATAATTGCTAATGGTTCTAAGATTGCTTCAGTTAGTTCCTTCAATACCTTAGGATGAATTTCATCAGGCCCTGCCGTCTTGAATATAACTTACCTAAATATTCTTTAATATGTTTCCCAGAGTGGCTGGTGGAGGAGGGTGGGAGCAGGAGGCTCTGCCTACTTGGGGATGGTGGAGTCTTTTGCCTCTTATGGAGTGTTTTTATAGGGGAGAGAAGTAAGGAATCAAACCACAGAACTGGAAAGACCAGGCATGGGGAGGAAGGCAGCAGAGCTGCAGGGGATGGGAGAAGAGTGAGGAGAGATAGAAGCCGAGTGAATTTGAAAGAAAGCAGCACATTATCCTGGACAGTGCTGGGTAGAGGACTTGAGGGCTTACAGTCTCAGCAGACAGCTCTCGCTCAGGCCTCAAGAGCAGCACGCTCTCATCCACAGCCCGCAGAGCACAGTGGGAGTTGGCTGAAGCTTCAAGGTGGAGGCTGACATTAGAGGCTGGGAGCCCCTGCTTCTTGGAGAACTGCAGCTGGACCTGGAATTGAGCAGAGGTGCCAGATGGGTTAAATCCTGCCCCTCAAGGGACTGCTGTGTGTGCGTATAGGTCCTGTGGCAAGATGGACGGGCCTCTACCCATTGCCACAACCTCATTCTTCTCCCTGCAGGATGAAGGCCTCAACATCAGACAGAATCTCCTAGGAGGCCCTGTCCTAGGACCAGATGTGACCATGAAGGCCCTGCAAAGGCTCCTGTGTGTTCTTTTCTCCATCTCTGGCAATCCACACAGGGCCTGCCATCCAGTGTATCCCAACTTCTACCTCTTGCCACTTTCTCTCTTTCTTTTTTATGTCTTCAGGACAAGACCACTGCCCCTTCAAGAGCCCTGGAAAGCCAGAGCAGCTAGAGGAATAAAGTAAACATATCTTTGCCTCCTCTAATGTAAGCACTTACTGTGCTATATTCTATTCCCATGGGATTTATTTATGTATCTGCAATAAACACCTTGTGTCTGCTGCAAACAAACCACTGCTTTTCCTCTAAGAATAGACATACCCAGCTTCAGTTTATGGACTTTGGATAACGTAGTCCAGCAGGAAATTTCCTGTATTAAAAATCACACTATAATTAGAATTGCAAACAAAATCTTATTAGCCAAATTGTTCTCTCAGTTACACTGGGATGAATTAAGTGTAACTCACATCAGAGTCAATATAAGATAGAACAGAATTTGGCCCTAATGTGCAAATATTCCTGCACTACACTGCCTTTCCTTTAAAGTGAAATCCTGAAAAAAAAGAAAAATCGGATGAGCTGTGAAAGTTTATAACAACATCCAAACTGATCTATAATTAGAATTATCACAGCCATTTTAAAACTTTACTCCCCAATAAATTCCCAGGTGACAAATATTTAGATCATGAATAAAGTTTCAACAGCTCCTAAGTGATTTAGGAGCATTTGAAAATGTTAACTCTCGGCTCCAAACCTACATATGTGTTCATGGAACAGTCAGTGTGATTCTACTCTTACTCTCTCAGCAATAGGCAGAGCTGAGGGAATCACTGATTTTTGGGTTTGGTGGCTGAACCGAACAGTGAAAAAAATTTATTAGTTTTCAACAACAACAGATTTGTTTTTTTCCCTCACTGAAACAAAAAAACAAAAACAATCTGAGGGAGTCAAATGAAATGTTTTAAATATCAAACTCAAAACATTTCCAAATGAAACCAATTAAAAACATACGTACCATGCTTCTGAAATTTTTGTTTTTAGTCAAAACTATTCACCATATTCAACCTGAGTTCACAAATAATGTCAGTGCTCGGAAAAATGCATTTTTTGGCAAATTTACTATTTGCTGAAAAATATTCACCCAGCTATAACTACATAGAAATATATCATGGCATTAAAATATACTGAGTACCATGGGATTTGGCCAACAGAGTAACACATGTTCCCTACCTTGAAGAATTGACTATTGGATAAACAAGACATGGGGTAAGAGTTGAGGACAGAGAGGTGCCGATCAGTTTAGGAAGGATTCCTGGAAGAAGTGGATTTTAAAAGAGAATGGGCACTTGGGGGGCAGGAAATGAGAGCCAGGTGTAAGCAGGGTGGGGCAGTATAGCAAAGGCATGAGGCTGAGAGGAAAAGGAGATGAATGGCACAGTACGAGAAGATCAGAAACAGCATGGGGAATGAGAAGGTAAGATTGGAGCAGAGATTTAGAG